TCGTTATAATTGACTTCCTTTTATCCATAATTTATAAAGTTATAAAAATACTATTATCTGTATAAGCAATGAAACATCAATACATTTGACAAATTCAGACAAGCGCGACGCGATTGAATAATGTTTTTTGCATGAAAGTATCGATTCAAATTTTTATAAATATTTTCTCTCGCTTTACTAATTTAAAATGAATTATCTTTTGGAAAAAGTTTTTCGAAATTAGACTCAACGGATGTATATTTAGACAATGATAATGTATATTAAACTATGAACAAAAATCGCGCAAGTGAACGACAAAGCTTTTTTCTTTATTTTCCTTATGCGATTCTTCATTGTCCTCGTACTTGATTGATACAAATGATCATAGCAGTGGAGTGTTTTTTTTAGAACTTTAGCATGTTGACTAATGGCATAAATCGTATATTAAGCTTTTATGCAAAATATCTATCTGTTTTATAAATAGAAATGTTTTTTTTTTTTTTTTTTTTTTTTTTTTTTTTTTTATATATTTTACACTATACTCTTTACACTTTATACGCTGTATTGTTATTTGAATAGGTATTTATCACAATATTAAAATTGTATAAAATGAAAAATATTTTCAATATTAAAAAAATTGCATTATCATTATCAATTCATTTAAATAAAAATAACAAATTTAATAACAGAACAAGTGAAATGTGAAATGTAAATATTAAACATTTTATTTATTGAAGGTTAAACATTAATCATTATTACTTAAAAATTAATATTATTATTATTATATATAAAAGGGAAATAATTTTGTATATTACATAAAGCTAAAATAGAGAGAAATAATTGATAATATAACAAGCATTTTAATACACATTGAATTTTTCATTTAAACCTTATCTTTGCTTAAATGATAAAAGTATTCATTAAATTTATAGAATGTAGAAGTTTCATAAATATTTTTATCGACGTATTAATAATGAAAATCACTCAACTCACGTCATTAGTACAAGACGATTCCTTTTTTTTTTAATATTAAATTTCTATTTATTTTCATTTCATATTCATGTATTAAATATTAAATTATATTTAATATTAATATACTGGGTACACATACACCCACCCATATAGTCGAAAACTAAATTTTAAAAATGTATTTATATTTTGTATTTTGAATGTACACGCCCAATCATTTCAATTTAAAGTATTTGAAATTTAAAATAAAAATCTAATATATAATGCTCAATTTATTATTGTAATTAGTATTCTAATAATGGTGTGTGCTAATTTAATAGTATAGTTTACATGATACTTTGAATAACAATTCAAACAATCAAATATTTAATAACTGTATTCATAATATTAAATATTAAATTAACGAAGACCTCAAATTATCCGACTAAAAAAACCACAACAATTTATATTCACTGGTTATTTGGTTTTTATTAAGTTTTAATAGGCTTATTTAAATAATAAAAAAGTATGATATAAAAGGAATTGCAAATATAATTAAATTAACAATACTTGGAAGAAAGTTTTATCTAAAAGGAGAATTGCGTATTAATGCGCGCATTCATGCCTATGTCTTTATGTATAATCATGTATAGATCCAAATAAAAAAAAAAAAAGCTTAGTTCTACAGCACAACTTTTAAGTGCTTATAGTTAGCTAATCAATAAACAAAATATGTAATTATGTGAGCGTGCATGACGTTACTTCCACGTGACTGCCCATGACCATGAAATGTTGTCTAAAGCACATATCACACACATGAGACCACAAAAAATCGAAGTTGAAGCATTGGAGATATTACGTAAGATTATGCATAGATATTCTAATGCGCATAGTACTTTTAAAAATAACCAATTAAACCATTTAAAATCAATGTTTAAGCAATTTCTGTTAAACGTCTATTATTACAGACGAATATCAAATGAATGAACAGTACATGAGGCAAATGTCTTTCAACGATAACGATTATTTATAATTATGTGCAATTGCACTACATTTTAAATGCATTGTTCATTAAACTTATCTTTACAGAGAATTGAAGATTAGAAGCTCGCGTTAAAATCAAATTGTGAAATTTCACACACATTTTTATTCAATGCTACACAAGTTACAAAATTTTCATGAATACATAATAAAATAATAAATTAATTATATTATCAGACATACGTTCAATGAATGCATTGTGTGAATTTTTAATTGAAGCTAACTATAGTCTAATGAAAATAAAACAAAGGCATCGACAACAGTATTAAATAATAAATTAAATATCACATAAATCTTCACAATTCTTTGCAATAGATAGACTTTATTATAAAAGTAGAATGTAATATTAAACATATAACAAGCATTTCTTGGATGCTCAACGATTCCTAGATATGATCGAATCTTAGAATACGAGTAGAATTTAATCAATTTTATATTTCCTTAATGATTACAAACCTAAAGGAGAATTGAATAAATGAAAAGTACATAATAAATTGAACGATGTATTGAAATTATATGAAATTATTATAAAAATTTAATCTTTTTTTTTTTTTTTTTTTTTTTTTTTTTTTTTTTTTTTTTTTTTTTTGATACGTGGAATAATATGAGAATGGTTAAATAGTATTTTAAGTAGTTCAATAAATTTAATGAAAATAGAATGCAATCTGAAATATTATGAAGTCAACGTTTAATTTGAATTATCACAAATATGAAGTATTATTATATTATGAATTAAGACATTAACGTATGTTTATATTTTATTAATTGTGGCACATTAATTTGACATTTTATTTGTATATTTTTTCGAATAAAAGTATATGTGAAAATTGAAATTTATGGATAATAGTTTGAGAATTATCAGTTATTGTTAAGCTAGGTCGTTTTGTAAAAATAAGATTATGCGATAAATAACATATATTATCTAAACACAAAGAATTTAAATAATTTTAATCCAAACTAATCTAATCAGATTACTTCTTATATTTCAATTTCCTCCATAAGTTAAATTTTTCAAATTAATTTTATAATAATGACTAAATGAAAAAAAAAAAAAAAATAATAAAAATAAAAAATCAACTAATTCTCTATTCTCATGTTGGTAATATATTTTTGTATAATATGAAAAAATAGAATTGCTAATAAATAGAAAGAATATGTTTGATAAGAGTAAATGATTTTTAAAATACTAAATTTTTTTTAAAATACATAGTTACGCATAAAACGAACACGTTGATATAAATGTTATGTTCTCAGAAATCGTTCGATTTATTAATTAAAGTAACAATTTACGTGCTTTATACATTATTCGATTATTGCCACTTAACTATATTAACAAAACGTATTTCCACGACTAATAGTACTATGACTAGCTTTTTGTTGTTGGAAGATTAATGTTCTAATAAAGAGTGAGCGAACACAAATACTTTTTAAACGTACAATACAATGGATTGAAAGTTTAAACAAAAAATTCTTAAAAAGTGTACCTCATTGTCAATTTCTAATAGACACGACGGCTAAATTTCATATAATTTTGATATAATTTGTTAAGGTCGTATTTAAAATTTTATAGTAATTTAAAGTTCTATTTGCATTGAATTCAACGAAAATTCATCAAATGAACTCAGAAAATAACATCGTTTCATACATGATAACGATTACGTATCAAATCAAATTATTACGTAGAATCAATTATAATTTCGACGATTTTAAATATAACATTTATTAGTTGAAAAATTCAGATTTGTCTGATAAGAAGTTAAAACGTTAATTACTCGAATTAATATTCACCTTCAAAAATATAATTTTAGTTTATAATACTCTTTTTACTTTATATATTGTGAAAATATTTGTTTATTTCTATATTTAATAATTATGGGATTATATTGATTTAAATGCAGTAGTGCAATGAACAAATCGAAAAAAAAAACAAATTTTCTTTCTTCTGAAAAATTAAAAAAAATCACTATAAATAATACACATAATAATAAGGAATAACAAATCATTGTCAATAAACTCATTCCTTCATTTAATAATTTATAAAACTAACTGTCATACATTATTGAAGGAAAATTTTTAACATCGTATTTAATTTATTAATTAATATTTGCAATAAAGACGAGAAATAATAACAGAATGGATATATCAGTTGATTTTTATTTTATCTTTTGTTAAGTGATAATTTAAAATACAACCTTACAAATCATTTTTAATAAGCAATACATTGTATGCTTTTAGTAAAATTTTAGTAAAATTATTCGCTAATTAAATATCTATTTTAAATATTTTTTAAATATAAAATATAATAAATCTGTACCATCTAATCGATTTCAATCAATCAGTTTATTTGCAATTTAATTAGAGAATTTATAAATTTTTATATTTGTTTTTTTTTCTTTCTTTCTTTTTTTAATGTAGATTTTAATTGTAATAGATCTTATCGTTGGCTTTAGTTAAATGCCTTTGTTAGAGAATTTTTATAAATTCTATTTCTTATTTGTTTATTTACGTAAAGTTTAATTGAAATGTTAATAACAGCTTTGAATGTTATTTTAAATTAAATCACGTATACGTAAGTTGTCTTATTGCGTTTTAATAAATATTTATCAAATACAATGTACGAACCCAAACGTACATTGATTAACAAAGGTTCTCATGAGAAATAATTGGAAAACTATAATATTTAAAGGCATTATGATATTTATTTTCTCTAATAAAATTCGAGCAATAATAGATTGGTAATTACAATACAATACATGATAGTGCTCATGCGTCTAAATAATTTTCTTTCATCTAAACTTTTTATGCCTTACAAATAAAGTCGTAAAATGAATGTTTCAAAGTATTAATTTAATTCACGAGACGCGAAATCAGTAAGTGTAATGGAGCATAAAATTCGAATAACGATTAAAATTTATCACCGCGTACATTCAACAAATTAACGTTTTATTTACGTTTCAGAATTCAAACATTCAAAACTTTCATAATTCGACAAATTTGAAATATTAATAATCGCCAGATGTCGCTTTAATTACCTCCATGTTTAAGATCAGCGGCCTCGTCGATGGGTATGACCAATAATGGAAAAACTCCGGAAAGACCGACCATTGCACTGCCAAGCAACGAGAACAGCCAAGGGCGATACTCGAAGTAATTATTAAAGGTTTGCCAAGGTGCCCACATGTTTTCGATTGACCATTCTTGTTCAACGCATCCCAATTCCGTACAGTTACCGAGGCAGCCGCTCACTGCCGCCATCTTGCTTAATTGGTATATATATATATATATGTATTGTTATGCTGTCTTCGTTTCACTTTCTCTCATTCGCGTGCTTTCTCTCTCTCTCTCTCTCTCTCTTCCTCTCTTTCGCTCTCTCTCTCTCTATCTCTCTCTCTCTCTCTCTCTCTGTCTGTCTGTCTTGTTTAACTGCTTTTTTGAATACAAAAAAAAAAAAAAAAACAAAAAAAAAAATGTATGCGTATGATTAGGCGACAAGTGATAATGCTTCTTTCCAGTGGCCGCTGCACGATTTGTCTTTTCTATTTGAGATTGGAGATACTTTATAACCTCGCTTATCGGTCTAGGTAATATTTCGTTTTTTTAAATCGTCGCTGACCTTATCTCGCGCGCTCACTCTTTTTCGTGCGAATGATGCTTTTGTTGCAAAATCCTACTTGCAATGCGACGTTTCAAGTGGCCCAGCCGCGGTTACCATCTTGTTGATTATTAATTGTATGACAAATATAGAGACTTGTATCGATGATCAATAACTTGGTTTGTTCGCACTATAGTCACGCTAAAAGCCTTATAAATCAAGCTTTTCAATTTTAACGTAGAAAAATAACGAAAGAGCACTGATAACGACAATAATAACTTGACACCTTGCAGCTACGATCGCCTACGATCTTTTAGCCGAATAATATTTAACGTCAAAATGAAAACGTCAGTGAGTGTTAATGCGACGTAATCAATGATATTTACTTGTACGAAAGACGGTAGGATAATGATGGGTGGACAACGGCGAAACACACGATGGTTTTGACGACCGACTAGCCTACACTGAGGACTGAGTACGGACCCTCAAACTTAAGTCGTGGACAACAAAAGACGTGTTTTTATAAAGCACTTCTCGTCTATTATTTCATCTCACTGTTTGCTATTCTTCAGTCGACGGGTCTCAGCCTGTCTTAACCCGACAAGGTAATGCGATGTGTCTCTCCACGACCGCTCCGTTGTCGCAAGCCTTTCCTTCGATCCTCCTATGTCTCCGTATTTTCGCGCGCCACTGATAATAGACGATCGACTTAATCTATCTACTCGATTCGCTTGCCGCACCACCTTCTATCATATTACTCTCTAGCGCAATGTCAGTAGTCACTGTCGTCGTCTGCCTCCGCGATCCTACGTCTTCTTCCTTTATTTCGAGCATTTACATTAATGAACTTAACCTCACTTTCTCACTCGTCCGACCATATTCATCTACCTTACTTCGCGATTCTTCCTCTTTTATTCTACGTGCGCTCTTCTTTATTCGCTCCCCAACTACTACCGTCAGCTGCACTTCCGAGCTCAATGCGCACTACGGCTACTCTCCAGCCATATATATTACAGCTGAGATCATGCCAGCGAATAAATAAGCGAGACGGACAACAGGATTGAAACTAACGACCGAGAGGAAAAGATAATGTTTTCCATGTAGTTAGTTCTTTCGCCTCTATTACGCGCAATCGCTAGTGAATCGATAGTGGCGTCGACGCAGTTGCAACAATTTAGCATGTTTTGCTTCACCATGCTTTTCCCGGATTTTCGAAAATTTTAAGAATCTACGGACCAAGATACACGATTACAAAGGATTATTGTGACTTATTGGAGACGAATTTTCGAAGAAAACAACCATCCTCAATACTGAATACTCAACCTCGCGCAATCGTTACAATATTATTTACAATATAGTTACATTCATCACCGATCATTTATTTATAGCGTCGCTTTTTTGCTAATATTATTTCTCATTTTCACCTCGACATATGATTATGAGACGATAATAATATTTTGTATTTATATAGCTCGATCACATTGCAATTATCATCATCTAACAAAATTTATATTATTCAAATAATTCTTCCTTAATGCTTGTATGAAGATTTGTAAAGCATTTACGAGTTAATTTTTTTTTTGGGTATTATTGTCAATACATGGTTTTTAATTATTATGCTTATAACGTTAACTAATGTCTACAATATTCTGCAGAATAGTTTTCAATTATAAAATGTATTGAACGATAAAATGAAATAATCTTTATCTACGCAAATTTTCTTTCATTGAAACGAATGATTCGTTTTATTTCAAATTAATTTCTAGTCTCATTAGTTATTTTAGGAATTTAAAGTTTGGCATTACATCTGATGTTATATTATTAAAAGTTTTATAAATAGTAAATTGTTTCTTAATATTTACAAAATTAATGTTTTTTTTTTTTTTTTTTTTTTTTTTTTTTTGTTTTTTTTTTTTTTTTTAATATAACAACGATCTACAAATGTTTATTACTGCTTTGAAAATATAACAAAACATTTTTTAATTTATCATTTTAAATATCTAAAAAAATTAATTGATATTATAATCTAATTTATAAAGATTTTATTTTCAGATTATTCGTTTTTATCCTTCTTTCTTTTTTCTTCTTTTTTAAGATTATTTGAATTGAAATTATTATCTAGTATCTATTAAATTAGAATTTTCTCACTTAACATACATAGTAACGGTTTAAAAAAAAAAAAAAAAAAAATCCATTGAAGCAGAACAAACTTAAATCAAAAGCAATTCTCATCCCTACGGAATAGATTATTTCTAGAAGCTGACCAATGATATTCAATCATTAAAACTTAGATAAAACATAATATGTCTATTGTCTGAGAAATAAAATTTTATTCCACTTCCTTTCTTATTTATAATATATTGTTCAATTACTAATTTTTTTTCAAAATTAATATAAAAATCAGCAAAATCTTTATATAAGTGACGTGTCTAAGCAATTTTAAAGAAAAATAAAAATTAGTAAAACGACTCGCAAACGAAAAATTTATAATAATTTCAAATTAATGTAAAATATATCAAATTACTATTTTATCTCATAAATATTCATCGATTGTTTCATCATAAAATCGTTTGTTCATATAGTTTATGATAGTTGCAAAATATATCATAAAAATTATTTAAATTTTCAAAAGTTAACGAGACATTAGCGTAATAATTATTATTAAGCTAATGAAATCATTAGTTCTAAGAAAAATTATCAACTTTATATGTATTTAAATTATTTTAATTATAAAATAAATAAAATGTAATATTTTAATAGTCAAAAATGAAGATAATTATCGATACTGATAAATTCAAATATTGATAAGATAGAATATCAATTTGATTGTCGTCAAAAAATATTTTTACACTTCATTTCATCAATTTGTAACAGTCAATAAAATTCTAAATGAATCATTTTTCTTATTTAAAAGAAAATTCTACAGATTAAATTTAATAATATAAAATATATGATAAATGCTTTGATAAGTTTAAACTGAAATATTATTGTAAACAATTATTCTTAAACAATAAACTTGAACTTGTTCTTATTTAAATACATTAAAAATTTGTTTATTATTATAATTTAAAATTTAATTTAAATTCTATCTGTGCTAAGAATTATAAATTATTTTTCAATTTAAATTCTTTAAAATATCCATTCCTTGTATTACGTTGGCGTTTAATACCAACTTGAGTATTTAAAGGAAATATGTAAATCTCTGTCGTAATTATTTAATAATTTAGTTCCTGTAATGTTTATTCTTATTATTTATCAATATCATCATTATAAGTTCAAAGTACATTAAAACGCAATTTAATTATGTTTATTTATACGAGTAACCACGTTTAACAAATTTTTAAAATACTTTTAAGGCAAATTACCTTATTTGTAATGAAATAATTGCATTAATTTATGTTGAATATTATTAATTGTAGCTTTAATAAAGAATACTGCGTTTTCGATCAATGAGGTGAGCAGCAATTGGCGAGACGAGGGAAGATATACAAATAATAATAATCAAAAGAGATATTAGATAAAAATATTTTCATGTTTTATCCTAATCCAGTTACAGAATGTGTCATTTAGATTGATTTTTCTTTAATACCTTTATTGTAAAGTTATGTATTATACATACATTACTAGATGAAGGACAGATAACAAATTAATGGATAGAAGAGACTCATATATTTATATATGCTTATATCTTTTTACATTCTATTACGATAAGATATATATAATGTAATAATGTGAATATTGACTTTGTTAGATAATTTTATTTAATGTATTCAGTTTATTGTTACCGTAATTTAATTGCAAATAAAAACAATTTTAAAAGATTTTTTAAGGCTTTCTATCTAGAAAATGATGAATAGTACTAACAGAATCTTGTCAGTATGCCAAAATTCTCTTAAACCAGGCGAGTAGATGAAGATTCGGAAAATAATTGTATAAATAATTTTTCGGCTATTGATTATTGGACTAATATATAATTTATAATTAATTTATTTTGCAAATTTATTCTCCATCTCTCTCTCTCTCTCTCTCTCTATATATATATATATATATATATATATATGTTATAATCAATATAATATTTTCCTTTATTTTAAACATTATAAGCTAAATATAAAATTATAATTTCTCAACTTATTCAACATAAGTTAAAAAATATTTTTAAAAGAATATTAAAAATACTATAGTATATTTAAAAATTCGTTTTAGTTAATAATTAATGTATAAACTAATACTTTTTTATATGACAAATAATTATATTTGACTATATTATCATACTGTGCTATTAATTACTGTCACTATAAGAGAAAGAGAAGCATAAAGAGAAAAACAGAGAGAGAGAGAGGGAAAGTGAAAAAGAGCGCAGGAGAGGGGGATGTCATTAGTAAAAATTAGAAGACGGAAGTATATCGAGAGAGATAACCTGGATTGTTACTAGTTTGCAAATAAAATTATCATTATCATCAGTCATTTGCCTTTATAACGTTCAACTTCTTTCAACATTATGTATATATATGATATAAAATTTATAATTCTTATATAAGTAAATAATTATTCAATATGTTTAATAATTATCTATAGAAAATACATGCTCCTTGTATATTTGTACTTTATTTGTTATTATTATTATTATTATTATTATTATTATTATTATTATTATTATTATTATTAATAAACAATATAATCATTTTCAATGACTTTTCTCAATCTATATAACATTTTTATAATTATATGAATTTTATAAAAACTAAATTATTTTAACATATAATACATTAATAAAATGCATTTAAAAATATTTCACTTGCGAAATTACTTTTAAAAACTAATAGTGAAATATAAATGGCGAACATGATGTATGTAAAAAGTTATGTAATTTTAGAAGGATTAGTAATTAATTAATAATTCTAAAAATGTGAAAATTTTCAATTATTAGTAAAAATTATAGATTATATTAATATTAATTATTTTTATGTATAATAAAAGATTAATAATAATAATTAAAAAATTTGTAGACATAATTTTAAACATATGACAGTGATCGAGTCATCATTTCAACATGTCGTGTCTATTAAAAAGCCTGCATTTATCGACTCAATTCCCTGTAGTAAAGTAGAGTCTAATATAATTTCAATTAATCAAGTTAGTTCGTAGCAAAATATTAGTGCTACGCTTGAAAATCGCTGATATATGACTTTCAATAAATATTTTGAAACAACAAATGAATTACGCGTAATAAAACAATCTAAAAAGAGACTGAAATAGAGATTATCTGTTGAAATAAAATAAATATTCAATTTTTTCTTTAGAATCTAAGAATATGTAAAATTAATTTGAATTTAAAACAATTCAATTTAAATGCTTTAAATATATGTAATTATTTACGAAAATATATGAAAATTTATATATTATTTATAATAATTAAAAATTCCAAGAGTCTTCATTTGAAAGAAATTAAAAAATAAAATTAATTTGTTTTGATTATTACATTTATTAAAAATATATATTTACAGAGTTAAAAAATCCATATAAACAAATGTAATAAAGAAATATAAATTTTGGTTAAATGTCGTGAAAGTATTAATTTTGAAAATATTTTTTTATAATATATGTAGTTCAAGTTAGAAATATCAAGAAAGTTTTTTGATTAATATGAAGATAAATCATAAAGAAAATATTAATATAATAACAAAAATGCTTGTAAGCACGTAAATAAGAGGCATTAAAATAAGTCATGACGTTTTAATATATGAATATAATGCAAATAATCCTATGCCAAATAATTATTCGACATATTTTTTAGTATTTTATAAAGCCTATATAGATTTTTGGCAATTCCCGTATAAATTTTGTATAATGTCAATTCCAAAAAAAAAAATTGAAAAACTCTTAGAGTTTATAATGTATTTTTGTTTAAAAACTCAGCTTATACTTTTCATTTATATAATTTTCGAATTTCATTCCCAATCGAATTTCACTTGTACATCATCACTTGTGACATCGTAATGAAAAATTGTTCTTTTATAAAATTCATATGAATTAACTAATGTTCTAAATATTGACAAATATTTAATATTTGGGGTTTTTTCTTGTCAAATAAATCATTAAAAAATTAATAAGCAAAAAAATTGCAAAAATATATTTAAAATATAATTAACTACGTGCTTTATAAATACTTAAATACTTTAAACCCTTTTATTAATTTATTTTCATTAAAATGCAATAAAATTCTTGGTATTTTTAGGATTTGATTATAATAATTAACTTTTCCAAATTTTATTATTCTTTGAAGAATTTACTTATTAATAAATGTTAAGAAACATTACATTAAATATGATTTTTTTAGAATCTGTAACTCGATGGGTTGAGTTGTCCTAGAATAATCACGTATTTTCTCACACATATAAAGAACGATGACGGCACTTTCTAAAAAAAGCGAATACAATATTTAATTATATATGCATTTGCAAGTTTTTGCCTATCTAGTATGAAACGATGAGTACATGATTAATTGTTTTTCTGTAATACAAGAGAATATCGTACTTGTATTAAATAGTAAAGTTTTACTTTCTATAAATATCAAGAGCTCTTGTTATATCATAAATTTTATTTATATATTTAATTATAATTTTATTGATATTAATTTTATTCGAAAACGTAAAATTGAGCTTATTTTTATTCCATAGATAATATACACAAATTACTCTAAATATTTACTATGAATATTTAATTGTATTAACTCAATTATTATACTTTGCATCTTTAATAATATCATCATCGGTATAATCATATTGGTAAAAATTTTTAATTGATTGATATAATGATATTACTTAAATGATATTAAAATACAAAAAGAAGTATACGAAATTTTCTGAATATTCAAATAAAATATATAATTTTTTACACATTAAATTAATGTCAAAACACATCATTAATATTTTAAAGTTTTAATCATAAAAAATCTTAATAATACTATCTGATAATATGTGCTCGACATAATTGCTCAATAAGAAATTTTTTATTCATTGACAGTTACTTTAATTTTAATAAAAATTTATACGAAGTTTTTATATTAATTATTAATATATTAAAATGACATTAAAATTGTAACTTTTCAATAGTTATATTATGCCATTCTATATATTTAACATTTCTTAATTAAATGTTGCATTAGAAAATTAAATTAAATCGACGATTTCATCGATTATATGGCAAACATCATTGTCTGAAAATAAATTTTTTTTAATAACAAATATAAATTATTGCCAAACAGTGTTAAAAATCCATTATTACTAACTAAACATAATGCTGTTAATACTACACGAATAATAATCATTACTTTAAATATTTCTCTTTAAAGGATACTTAATTAATTAATTATATATCAGTTTAGACTTTGAGAATAATTTTTATTACATTCCGTAGACTACTTTTTACATTCGACGATTATATTATTATATCGTTTATTATGGAGCAACTTGAGTAAATGAAAAAAAATTTTTTTTCAATTATTACGTGAATAAAGAATAATATGATAGAATGAATGAGCATGCGATGCGAATAATTCGAAAGCTTCGTAATGGGTAAGTAAGCGAGTATATCAGCGACTAATGTCAATCGATTTGCCCGTTAAGCGTTTCGTAAATGCGACGAAGGGGAGACGGGCGGTTCTCCGCCCCCGGACGCACATAATACGCTTGGATTGCGAACAAGCGGACGAATTCACGTCTCTGAGGATAGGGCGAATGTCGGTACCAGGCGCTCCAGAACATCTATTTCGAGCACCGTTCGAGCGCGGAGATTGTTACGCTCTTATGTTTCCGCGGGATTTTTCTAACTTGGACGGGGGACAGACCGGCTCTTAGTAGTTACGAATCCGAGGCGAGATAGAGCACTTCTTCTCTAGCTCGACCACTCACTTTTGGAAAATACGGGGGGGGGAAAAAAAGAAAGAAAAGATTGTTTATAGCACGCTCGTAAAACCAAAATTAAAGCGAAAATGATGACTGAGTAGGACCAAAAAATAGTTTTTTGTCGTGCCTTGTATTTTTCTAATTTTTCGTTTGTTTCACTAAAATTTGGTGCATTTTTATTAACGGGTGTTCTTGGCCATGCGTATGCGTTCGAATTTGACTTGGATGTGTTAGAATCGAGCAGTAAAACGAGATGGACTGCGTCACTGCTTTTGTGTGAGGGAAGCCTTACGAAAAAGTCTTTTGCATTTGTAAGGCATTAGAGGAGGAGTAAGGGAAAATGAGTTCTGTGCGACACGATAAACTGAAAAATTAAATACGAACGGGCAAATTGAGCTTTCACATAAATTACATTTTCTATAAATTCCCTCTTAATATAATTATTACTGATAGTCGAGTAAAACGAGTGGTGATGTCCGATCAGCTTTCGCTGCGCAGCTTATATTTTTTTCTCTTATTAATCGGGATACTAAAGCATCTAACCAACAATATAAAGGACCATTCTCTTTTCAATGTAATAAAAACAAATTCATAATTATTTTTTATTGTGCGTCTTTTCGTTTATTTTCGCGTCATCAATCAACGGCCATCCGATCATGGATACGCGTAGAATGTCGAATTGGAATGTACTAAGTGTGGAAGCAGCTCTACAACAGCTAAATGGACCACAAGACGGAATGGAAATTGAAAAAATTATTCGAAAATCAAATACGGTAAGTCTATTAATTATCGATAAGAGTATTTTCACTTTTGACAATCTAAGGAACAACGTATCTCTATCTTACGTGTCGGATAGACAAGAGTTTATAATTGATTTATGTAGATATTATATTATACAATTTTTAAACAAATTTTACAACAAAAATAAGCATAATAATATTCATATAAAGCTTATGTGGATGAATATTTGTCGTACAATTAAAAAAATTGATCGAATTCGAATCCGATTGCATGTACATAGAAGGTAGGAAAAACTGTTTCAAATATTATTTATTATAATTTTTTTAATTTTAGTTAGCATTTTTCAATTAATAACAAAAAATATAATGCTATTTATAGAAATAATATTGATGGCCATTATAATTGTCATTGATTAATTAAAAATAACGATCATTTTCATAAATCCACAAAAATTATTAAACTTATATTTAGGTTAAAATTATAAATTAAATATATTACATTTTTAAAAAATTAATGGAAAATTATGAAATGAGAAAAATATGACTGTGTATCTTAAAAAGTAGTTTGCAAATTAAAAAATTGTTTGATCTATAAGAACAATTAATTCAATTTCTATTAATGTTCATTAAAAAATGAAGAATTTTTTTAGTTTTTCTCATAAAACTTAGAGTTAAATAAAACGAAAGGCTTAAATAAAATATTTTAACTTTTTCTAAATGTTCAATATTTTCAATTGAAATATCAATTTTCAATATTACAATTGAAAATACCGGTATCAGTATTTACATTGAATATTTTGTAATTATTCTTCTATTTGACATGGTCAATTTTATTTATTATTTCGATAATATATTAATGACATTTTTATTTTTTCCTTGAAATTAAAGAAATATAAATGAAAGATTAAATTTTTACTTTTACTTCGTTTCATAGCTTGTATAATTGTTATTACTTAATATACTAAATGAGTCTCGATTTTTTATGTTTAAATAAATCTATTAATTGAAAATTATTTTCTTTTCCGCATCCAGTGTTATACCTTAAAAAAATTTAACAATCAATAAGATATCGCAACAATGTGACCCCATAACTGTTTCACATCATGTGCATTCGTTTTGCTATTTATTACAGATTTCAATTAAATATCGTCAAAGTCTTTGGTAACTTACCGAATAAACTATTATTATCCATAAAAATTCATATTTAATTTCTGCTTTTATCATTCTCGAGATGGTTAAATTCCTATTAAGCTTTTAGACAGATTTTGACTAGTGAGTGTAGAAACCCTTTCATCACTGATCATATTTCACAAATATATCATTAAGAATGTTTTATCACGACACATTTATAACCATAGATATATTTTATCTATTTATATCATCATAATATATAAATATTAAGAATCTTATATAATAGAAGTGGATAATTTAAATAGAGATTAATATTACTATATACATTAAAGAATGTTAGTAAATTAATAATGTAATAGCTTTTAAATTAATGTATGGTAGACAATTTGTAAATTAATACTTAAAATTTTGTCATTTATAATAAGTCCAACGAAAGTCAAATATTCTTTTTATAATTTATATAAATCATATTAAATATATTTATGTTTTATTGTAATTGTCCTTTTTTTTCAACAACGCTAACGTACTTTCCAGCATAAATACAAGCTTTTGGCAAAATATAATAATATTTTGAAAAACTTTTTTTATTTTAGTATGATTCGTTATGCTTTTTGATTTAAATAATTACATCTTATGTATAAATATACTTTAAAAAAAATGCTTATAAAATCATTATTTAATTTTAATTTAATAATTTCCATTACGCTAAAAGCATATTAAAACGGTTGAATCTAAAAGATTTAGTCGAGAGAATTTGTTATTTTTAAATATTATTTTACATTTTTATACAACAGTTTTTAATTATTAACAAATACATAATACGTAAGATTACTTTTTTTTTAAATAAAATGTATATTTGCAATTATATTTCGGCAATAAATACACACACACATATATATATATATATATATATATATATATATATATATATATTTGCTGAATATTCCACGAAGGATATTTTTCCAAATAAATCAAAATATTGGTTGCCAAGTGCAGTTATATTTTATAAAGTCAGTATTTATTTTATGCAAATAAAATTTGTAAACTTTAAATATTTTAGTATAAATTATAGGGAAGTAAAATAAAAAATATTTAGACATATTTACTTTATTTTAATAAGATAATGGAAGTATAGACACGATTAATAAATTTTATTCTAAATTATATTATAAATTTTTATAACTTATCATACACATAGATATAGATTAGAATTTAATTATAAAATTTAAATTCTGACCTAAAGTATATTCGTATTTTACATTTTTTTTGTTTCACCTACTATGGAATAAAAATTTGCTAATATATATATTGCTAACATATTTTGCATTATTATTGTAATAAGTAAGTATTCTATCATTTCGCCTATTTAAGTATTTAACTATCAAATCCTATGTAAAAATGTACGTGTATATTGTTTATCGATAAACTGCTCAACGGTTTGGCTTTTATCTACTTTCCTATTAATAAAATAATATTTTACGTGCAAAAGGGAAAAGAAAGAAAATGGGTTCTTCTTTATTAAAGGCAAACAGCATTGATTGTCGGATGAAAGATTTATCGATAGACGTCGATGGCACGGTTGTTCTGGCCGAATGCCGACCATCTTTATTTATAACTAATTGAAGATTGACTCAGTCAGCTTAAGGTAGTCCTCCTATTCAGTACGGTGTCATCGCTGCTTCATTTAAGTCAGGGACAATTGATTAAAAGTACTTGGCAACCAATTGCGCACATACATGGTGTTAAAGCAGATGTAATCGTAGTGAGTGACGATGAGTGTCTGGAATCAATTAAATGTCGAACATGCTACAAGCGCAATTTCACGTGACGATCTTCGTGGTAGCGTCAGGAAAAAGAAATCCACGGTAATGACTACCGTTCAGCAAACATTATTTTTAATTATATTTTTTATATACATCTACTTGTACGTAAAAGCCCTTATTTATTGCCTTAATATATATTTTAAACGTTTTATTTGCATTTAAACTTATAAATTTGCATCCACATAAATATTATTATGGCATTTTAAATCTAAGCAATTCTGTTAGTAATATTTATGTTGTAAGAATAAAATCAAATGCGATAGGTTTCATTTCATTTTAATGTATTCTAAATGTTTTAGTTTAATCACTAAATATGGAATGTAATGTCTTCAATGCATCTCATTCCATTTACTGCAATCAGAGTTTGAAATATTTTATTGTATACATGAATTTAATTTAATAATTGAATATATTTTTTAACAATATTGAAAAATTAATAAGAAATAAAATACAATGTGATGTCAAATTGAACTATGATTTATTGGGAATTTATTTATTTGTGAATAAAACCTTACGAATTTTAATAATTACTCTTCTATCAATAAAGGACACAGAACAAATGATATTAAAATATCAATATTAGAAATTATATTTAAAGTTGTCTGAAACATTTTTTTTTTAACGAAGAGTTCCAATGAAAAATGAAAAACAATGAATAAATGGAGTATTCGTAAAAGTTACAAAATGTTTTTTATTCATCCGTACATTTTATTTAATCAACAGATATTTGCTTACAACTACATAACATAAATTTAATATTATTTCTTTTCTCTATCACCTCTACGAATAATCTTAATTTATAAACATGCTATTCACATAAGAAGTTTGATTATTAGAATGAAAAATTAATTATATTCATTTGGAATAGTTAACACGAGATAGATAGAAGATGTATTTATAATGTTGATTCATGAGGTATAATCAAACATTTTCTTTAGTTTTTAGAAATTTGTTTCTTAAAACAATATATAATAACAATTCTACCAACAAAAAATAATACAAGAAGAGTTACTGACAATAAATAAATAATTTTTCTTTGCATAAGCAAATCTTAAACATTAAGCGCATGAAGTTTAAATAAAATTTAAATAATAATGTAATAATTTAAGTAATAATTTAATATATGTATGCATGTGTGTGTGTGTGTGTGTGTGTGCGTGCGTGCGTGTATGCGCGCGCGTGTGCGTATAATGAAAATGATTTATTATTTAAATATTTAACGAATAAGTTAAATTTTATTACAGGAAATTTTGTTATCTTTAGAAAAGTAATAATGGTCAATTATTCATCTCATTTATTTATTTATTTATTTATTTTTTTTTTTTTTTACTCATGATTGCCATTATGCGCACTATTTCCAAATATGAAATTTCTGACTTTTACGACAAAATCTCATAGATGTATAGTGCCCGTGTATGTTTAAATTTAAGTTTGAAGCAAGTCTCGGTGTATATTTAGGCTACCTGCGCATGCGCGATTAGATTAAACACCGATGAATATCGTGACTGCTTCGAAATTCGCGACAGCAATATATCAGTGCACTTTTCCCATAAAATTGATTAAATCGCATTGATTTATAAGCGATTTAAATTCATTATTAAGGAATTGTTTTTGTTTTTTCGTCGGGGTATATTAAATTTGAGCGTTGTTATTGTATTGAAAATTGAACTTTGGTGATCATTGTGAAAAAATGGAGGGTTTAGATGTTTGGGGTCAAATTGCGGTTGAAACATCGCAAATGTACGTCAGTGAGGGTGGTGTTGTAAAAAGTCGATTTGCAAATACTGTAAGTTGATAATGATCATTCGACCAATATTGATTTTCGCATCGATCAATAAAATAACGCAGTAGTTAAGCAATAACAATGAATTTTGATGAATAACAAATATTGTTGATTAATACTCGTGCATTATTTGCAGACGATAGAGAAATTGCCGGACAAAGTGATTCTAAATGTATTCAGTTATCTTTCGCACCGAGAAATATGCCGAATGGCGAGGGTCTGTAAACGATGGCGTCAGATAGCTTATGACACAAAATTGTGGTCGCATGTTTCTCTGAGACCGGAAATCAGTGGCCTTCACGTTGGATCTCTCGAAAATCTTCTACAATTAGTTAGGTAGGCTACTAAAGATTTACTATTATTAATGTATCGATCTATTATTCTTATATGATAAAATATAAAATTTCCCATGAGGTTGATATGATTGTAAATTATTGTACAAATAGTTTTCAACTCAACGAAATAAATCATCATCTGCTTTCCAACTAAATACTTTTTTTTTTTTGTTATTACAATACAATGATTATTTAATAGTAATTCTCATGTCTTATTAAAATTATAACTGCTAAATAAATATCTGAGCAATTATCAAAGGGGAAAAGAAAAATGTTTATTATTGAATTGTTAAAGCTTACTTACGCAATTGATATTAATAATGACACAGTGAAATTTAACATGTTTATATGAGTTTATGAGATTATATGAAATTCTTGATTTATTTTGAAATTCTAAAATTTATTTGAAATATTAAATAAAATTCATAGTAAAATACGTATTTTATACTTTATACTTTATAAGTGCAATGATTGCTAATAAAAAAAAATTGTTAATATATATATGTGTGTGTGTGTGTGTGTGTGTGTGTGTGTGTGTGTGTGTGTGTGTACGTGCGTGTGTGTACGTGCGTGTGTGTGCTTTAAATTGAAAAAGATATTAGATTAGAAGTACCTCAAAATATATAAAGTTTAATGATTTATAAAATACTTTACCCACTGTTTACATATGCATGGGCGTGATGAGCTAAGCGATAAGTACGCGTGCACACACATTCAATGTCATAAATTTTCTTGCAACAGCGCTCGATTTGGGCCATCTTTGCGCTACATCGAATTGCCAATAGAATTAATTACACACACGGTACTTCATGAACTGTCGAACAAATGTCCGAATTTGACGCATATGCTTCTTGACTTCTCGACGGCTATGCAGCTGCACGACTTTTCGGAGATGCAAGCTTTCCCCACAAAACTTAAGTACATGTGCATATGTTTATCCGAAGTCATCTTCATGGAAGGTTTCATGCGAAAAATTTATAACTTTATTAACGGCCTCGAGATTCTCCATCTCATAGGTTCGTTGACACTGCCTGAGATTAATGTGAGCAGAGAAAAAACTTGCTTGAAATTGAAAATTGAAATTGAAAAATTTTAAATTATATCTTAAGACAAAAACAATCATTTTTAAATGATTATTATTAAATTTGTACAAAGAGTGCACAAATCATAACGATTGGCTAATTAATTAATTATTATTTATATGAAATTTTACCGCTTCGATGGCAAAATGTACTTGGTTTAATTAAAATTTATTTAAATTAAAAAGTTTTAATCGAATTTATAAAGCTAATTATTTTCGTATAAAGAACTTCAAATATATAATTTCAAACATTTTTTTCTCGGTCTTTATCAATTAATGATGTCTCTACTAAAAGTCAGAGGCATTGACTGGATGCACTTTCAGGAACTTACGAGAAGGTCGAGGAGGAGGAGGAAGAAATCTACGAGGTGATAAATGTTCACAAATTAAAGTCTGCCACGCCAAATTTAAGGGTAATCAACTTATATGGGATCAATTTTGTCGATGATTCGCATATTGATGCCTTTTCGTCAAACTGCATACAGCTTGAGTGTTTAGCTGTGAACTTTTGTGCCAAAGTGACAGGATCGACCATGAAAACATTATTTCAACGAAGTCGAAGACTTCGATGTCTACTTATGCAGGGCACGAGTAAGTTATTAAAATTTTTGTATTTTCAAATTGTAGATGATATGTAAATAAACATAAAACAATTGTTAATCAAGTAAAAGTTTTTATTCACTTTATACATTTAATGTATTTATACATACGTGTCCACACACACTCACACGCGCATTTTAGTATATTATCCTTCAAATCTCTTATTGTTATACACACAATTTTCAAAACTCTTTATCCTATTTTTATATTATAATTATATTCTTAATGGAATATTTTTAAATATTTTTAGAAAAATTCTAGAAATAATAGAAAAACAATAGAACGTACAATACAATTTTGATATATAGACAGATACCCAATAAATTTAATTGTCATTTTTTAAATATTAATAGTAATGGCGATAAATTTTATGACGAAGAAATGATCGTGAAAATAGAGTAATTCATTCGTGTAAGTAATATTATGAAAGTAATATGATGAAACTGAAGTGTATGGTAATTTTATAATTTATTATTTGCCAATTGTAAAGGAATGTTGTGCTTATTGAAGAAGCTACAATGCGTAAATTATATTCTAAAAGAATAAAGGAAAATATCATCAAGCCTTTGAATTTTTGATACTTGAGATTTTAATAAGCCGGATAGAGAAAATCAACGAATATAAAATTCCCGATAATTGCATATTATAATAATTGCAGTAATTCTCATTAAATGCTCTAAGTATGTGAATATAAATAATTTGTCGCTGCTTTTAGACCTTCAGAGCGAATACGTGATGCAGGTCGAATGGGAGAAGTCTAGTATTCAGGAGCTTGACGTGACAGCAACGGATCTCACGACCGAGTGCCTGATCGATATGCTCAGTAGAATACCTGGACTGCGCTTCCTTAGCGCGGGCCAACTCAATGGGTTTAACGATAGCGTCCTTAAGGCTTGGATGGAAATGGGCAACCCACGGAGTCTTATTGCCCTCGACCTTGACAGTTCTGATAATCTTACCGACGATGCCTTGCATAAGTTTTTGTCGCGGCACGGTCATCAGCTCTGGGGAATTTCACTCTCGGGGATGCCACACATCACTGATCAACTTTGGCAGAGTGTATTGCCTATTCTAACTAATTCAAAGTATGATTCAATTTTCATTCTTTTATGGTTTTCTTCGCGCATTGTCGAATGTTCAACATTCAAATTTTCATTAACGAGCAAGGATTTTTTGCTTTTTAGAAAGATAGACCATGGATTCGGGTATTATAAAATCTTTTACGTAAAATCTTCACACTATGAAATGATTATTTTTTTAAAGATCTCGATAGATTTTCAAACTTTTTAAATATTTTTTAATATAAAATATATAAATTATAGTAAATAGCCTTGAAAATATAATTGACACTAATACAAAATATTTTAAGGATTAGAATTTATCCGCCTTCCCTGCGATTTAGATTTAGATGCAATTTAGATCAAGAAAATATTGGATAGAATGAGCAAAATTGTTTTTACAACTTTTGAGTACTTTGTAGATCATTGTTGTATGATTAAAGTAAATTAAACAATTTCAGATTATGTATCAAATTTCGGTAATTACGGATCGTGAGAAATTTAATTCTTTGATTTAGTTCAACCACTTATCGAATTACAGATTGCAATAAAAGTATTTCAAGCCTACAAGAATAATAACTGTTAAACCAATCATTATTATTTAATTGATTACTACATATTTATAATTTATTATTATTTTGGTTTAATATTTATTTTTGTACTATTTATTAATAATACATCTATTTTATAATGAGTTATTTGAAAAGCTTAAGCTAAAATTTTAACGATATATTCAGAATTCCTAATTTAAAATTAAAGATAATAAATGTAAAACATAATAATAATATAATCGTATTTAATGAAAATTTTTTTATTCTTGTCATAATTTATATTTTGTAATTTAACAACAATTTATTCGTTAGATCATTTTGTTGCACTCGAAAAATATTATTAATTGTTATTTATATAATACCTCGTTAAAAGATAAATTGAAAATATTAATTAATAACACAAATTTTGTGTTAAATATTACATCTAATGATTTGTTTATTTTTTAAGAATTGTAGTTATGGGAACGCACGAGAGACTCGGAGTAAATATCCACGTCGATCAATTAATGGACGGGATAGCAAACAATTGTCCGAACTTGGAACGATTGGAATTACGATGGGATCCAGAGAATTTGAGATTCTCCGACAAAAGCCAAAAAGCTATAGATATTTTAAGAGTTAAATGCATTAAACTCAGGTGTTTAACGCTCAGGTAAAGTTCAAGCATTAAATTACTATAATTTTGTTTATAAATATCTCATTCAATAAACATCTCATGATCATAACACGGAGGATTTATCTTCAATAAGATACATAGGATTTTACAAAGTATTTGTAAAAGTAACATTTTATTTGATTATTTGGAAGTTACAGTTGATTCTTATTGATTAATAAATATCAATATATTTATTTTAAAATAATCTTTCTAAAATCTCGTGTTAAATTTTTTATTCAACTATTATTTTAAAATATTAGATGAACTAATAAAGGCTATGCGTGATATTTTTTTCTTTCATTTACACAATAATAAGATCCGACATAATATACAATTATCAATAACATAAAAATTAACTTTGTATTATTAAAGATTATTATTAAAGAATCAACTTTCACAAAGATTCATAATTTCCGAAATTTGATTATTATTTCAGCGATGGGAGATATTATGAGATTGTAAAGGCAAACTTTGAAAGAGCTGACAGAACAACCGTTGTACGAACAACCACTTGTTGTCGGGTTTCCAATTACTATTTGCTTCATAATTATAAGGATTTAGTTTTCAATTGATGATCGTTTGTATTAACAATGAAAACTGGACACCACATTTCAATTAAAATATTTTTTGTAAGATACAGAAAGATAAATATAATTAATTTAACTATTCAGTTTATCTTAAATTCAATATATTTCGTAAAATATGAAGGATATATCCTATAGAAAGAAGCTTTGTTTAACGTAAATTTAGTTTATTATAATCGAACTGAATAATAAAAAAGGCCATCACTTTTGTTGCTTAATTTTATAACAAAAGATACCAAATTTATTTAATATCTAACATTCAATAAGTATTGTATTGTTTCGAAAAGTTTCGTTTTCTCCTCGACTACCATGAATTGTGTTTTTAACTAATCTGAATACTTTATATAATTCTTTATTGTCGTAAAATATTTTTGCAATTACTATTTAAACATTTTTTTTCTCTACTTATGTGATCATATGTTCATATTGTATCAAATATAAATGAAGAAGCAGAGGTAAGTACTACGCTTAGTAAAAGAAGAAAATATATATATATATATATATATATACATATGAATTATGTATAAAAAAAAAGTATTTTAATGCGTGTGTGCGTGTGTGCGAGCGTACGTGAATGTGTGTGTACAGATTTTTTTATATTTAACTGTAAATGCATATTTTAATTTCTAAAATTTAATAAAAACTTATATTACTGCAATTTAATAATATATAACAATTTTAAGAAAATGTTTGTATGGATTGAACTCATGAATTTTTGATTACCTTATAGTTAGATTAAAAAATTTGAATTAAAGATGTAGATGAGTGTAATATTTATTGCTTTTATAAAAAATCACTATTTTAACATTAAATGAAAGAGTTGTTCTATTTTATTGAGCATGAAAATGTTATGTGGCTTTGTTATCCTCATCCTTTATGTCATTCTTTATGTTGCTACTCATTAGCCATAAAAATGACTTAATTCTTAGGTTACGCCATTAAAAAATATTTCAAATTAAAATTATTTAAAGTTTTATTTATAACACACTCAAGAATAAATGTAAAAAATTGCGTGTTCAATTTTATTTTCACAATAGCCAAATCTCAATTTTAACATTTAACAAATTTTATTTGTTTTTAACATGAAAAGAAACTTAGTTATATTATTATATCACAAGTTATATTTAATTCAAATTGTGTTATGTTTAAAATGAAAAAACACGTATTAAAAACAACTATTTTGAACCTTATTAGATTATTAAATATATGAAATACGAAAATAATTTATAAAAATGTACTATTTAAAATAGATAAAATCTCATAGTATTGATATATTTTTATTTCTCCTCTTATACAAAAATAATATAAATAAAGTATATATGTACAGCATTTTCATATAGATAGCGAATAAATAATGTCACTATCAATAAGCATAGTTTTTGTTTACATTATTTTTGTAGGTCACTTACATTTATGCATGAAGGATGCAAGAAGTTTGTGCTATTTTTAGGATAGTTGAATATTTTAAATACCTCATTATATTTAACTTTAGGATAAATGCGTTTAACGTCGGAATTTTCTAATTTAGATTCAATATTAGATTAAAATTTATTTAATCTATTATAAATTTTGTAATAATTAGAAATTTCCGATAGTTTATTAAAAAGTTGAAACGTGTGTATTTTTTTATTTATTTTTTTTTTTTTACTCACTGCTATTTGAATATACAAAACATTTTTAAGGTATTGCATTTTAAAAATATGAATTTACAAAGTCAGAATACTGATCTTTGGTATGCATGATGCAGAAGAAAAAGCGTAGTTTGTGTATAAAATAAAAATATACTTGACTCGGATTACCCAACCAGTGGATTCCTAAAACAGTTTCGACGTTTCAAAAATGGACGACTCACTCGGCGCTTAACTATAGAAACTATAATCATATAAATTTTAAAATATATATTTACAATGTTTATTGTTATTATTTGCAAAATTTATATGAATTTATGTATATGAATAATAATTTAAATAATCAATTTATAAATAGTGTAATTATTTAATAGTATACTATTTTTAGTTAAGAATTTGTCTAAAAATAGCTTATATGTTCTCGTTGTTTTGTAGATGAAATTTCCTTTAATAATGTATTAGGATTTATTATTATCTTATTTAGAAAGTGTTATAATATGAAATCTTCCGTAATATTGTATATTATTGTATTTAAAAGCGTAATTATTAAGAAACTATAAGTGCGTCAGTAAAATGTAACAGAGAGAGAGAGAGAGAGAGAGAGAGAGAGAGAGAGTTAGATGTAAATAAACGTGTAAATATATCTCTAAATATTGTTTTATTCGCTTAACATAACTTCTTACCTTTTATTTCGATTAATTCGCCTGAGTAAGCAATATCAGTAGACTTTTTTTTTATAAATATTGTCTGGAAAATACTATAAAAACGTATTAGTAAATAAATATTGATATACAATATATCAATTTATATCGCGGTAAGTTTGGGTAATTTTACTATAAAATAAGGTAAGATTTTGTACAAATAGTAATGATTGAATTTGTTAAATAATAAAAAAAGCTCGACTTCACCCTTCATCTACGCACAAATGCACAATGCATTGCATTCTTCCTATCTTTCTATTACTTCCACTTACATCTAATTGAACTTTTTAGTATCTTAAATTGCGCATTCCTTTATTTACATTCCACAGAATAATATAGTCTATATATTTATGACAATTAAGGTAATTAATGCACTAATATATTATATACTTTGGTTTATATTGCATATAAAAACAAAAGTTAATTTTTTAATTTCATTTGTTAATTTTTATAATTTATAATTGTCAATTTATAAATTCAAATACCATTCAAATATTGATAGGCTCTTTTATGTATTGTAAAAGAAAAAACTCTAACAATATACATTTTTAAAGAAAGATTAAATAGATATTTACGTCACATTGAAAATCAGGAAGAGTGAAATGAAATTTATCTAAATTATAAATTTATTTACTTTATAATAATATTAACATTTTCTAATACGCTACTCATACAATTGATAAAGAAATTCTATATTTTAAATGTATTTTTTGTAATAACAATAGGTCTTTACGTAGAGACTGTACACTATAGGATAACTTAAACAACTATCGGAAAATATAATATAATGTTGATAATATAATATAATTCATAATAAATAGAATATTTTTTGTTCGTATTTTATTTCTTTATTTCATTATATGTTTATTAGAAGGAAATAGTAATTCGTTTGACAATATACTCTTTCTGTTCGATGCGAGGAAAAAACAGACAAAACAAAACAATCCGATTTTGAATGAAATTTTTAGTCGCAATATTTAGAAAAAAAAAAAATTAAGGCTGATATGTTGTCAATAATTAGTCGTCTAAAGTATAATGTAACAATAAATACCACGAAGAAACAAAAACAACAACAACAAAAACAACAACAACAACAACAACAACAATAACAACAACAAAATGAAAATAGAAACAATGTCAGAATGTAACACAAGCTGATTTTTACGTTAAAGCAGCACATCATGGCCAGAGAGGGTAATAAAGGCTGTAAGTTTCCAAGGTGATATTGTGGTGATATGACGCGGGCGACAATGGGGAATTAGAAAAGTCTAAGGTTGTTTGGATAATGGCCGCTCGAGCTCCTTCGCGAGACCGTGAAAACTGTAACAACCCCGACTTTGAAAAGGCGCAGGCGCGCGTACTTGGTACTCACAGGTAATGTCCATCGGAACGGTCAGTGAGTGATCGAAGCGCCGGTGTTATGTGTGTGTGTATGGGCGGAGGGGGGGGGACGATGAGGGGGACGCCGTAAACGAATTGCGGCGTACAACAAATCGTCACGTAAAACCCGCGGATATCGATTGTCGCGATAATTTATTCACGTTTACACGTAGGACGCATGTCGGGGGCTCAGAGCTCGATTCTCGGCTGCCATATAGTCTAGCTGAGTCTTGTGGCTGAAGAAAACGTGTCCGGGTTATCGGGGTGCTGTGCAAGGGATCTCCGCATGTCTGATACAAATAACGAGTTTGCCGAGAAGCGGCTGAAAATTGTTCTAGTCGGCGATTTGGGAGCTGGAAAAGTAAGTCAATTGGTGATCGATGAATATCTCACTTTCCAATGAGCATGTTATAAAACTTATTCGATGCCGTCTTTCTATTTTCCACTAGGATTTCTCTACTAAGAATAACTTTTATTTTCTATAATGATAAGATAAGACTTAGGTGATCGGGAAAATTGCTCCTATTACTCATACTTGATATCACTTCATTTTGTAAAATGAAAGAAGGATTTTTAAGCATTTTTCATAATTACAGTTAAATTTTTAAGCTGAATGGATACTAAATCGAAGAACTTTAAGAATAAAAGAGTTTCGTTCGGTTTCGAATAATATTCAAGGTATGGTAATAATTATGTGTTTAACAATTCTGGGAATATTTCTAAGAAATTATAACAAGGAATTTTGCTATTGAATAATAATGTTAAACTATTAAAACGTGAAAATGTTTACAAACAATACGATTATTCAATTTATTTGAAATTTTGTTTATTAAATATATACACGAGCGATTGGCAAAGTTCTTTATAAGCAATTTTCTTTAACATTATTTTCGCAAAAAATGAAGAAAATTTTGAGAATATTGAGATAATTGTAAATCATCAATTTATAAATACATACGATTTACAATATTTAAGTATCTAAATGTAATCCCTATGCATAATTATTACTATCGCTGCTATTATTAAATTACTTAATGACACTTATTAAAATTTATACTAAAATTGCCTGATTCAAATTTAATTTTTTATTATCGTAAAATTTATCGTACCGATAAAAATTCCTATATATAAAATACGTTTTTATTAATAAGCTAAATTTTCCTGAAATAACGCGAACAAAAAGGTGTCGCAGAAACGATTAATATCTTTACTTCGTACGTCAATTAAAAAACAATGAAAATAAATTGTCAATGACTGTTTAAATGAACAATGATAAAAGATGCGCTAAATGTGAGAATGTATGCTACTTAAGTTTGCGATAAGTTCTTCCATGCTAAAAAATGTTAATGCAGATTGTCATCATAGACCAGCATAGCGGTAAAATTTTGCACTGATGAATTTACTCGGCAGTACACGCCAACATCGGGAATTGACTTCTTCTTGAAGAACATGAATTTAGGATGTCAGAAGAATATTCGTCTTCAATTGTGGGACGTTAGCGGATTATCACTGCGCAGTAATATGCTCGACAAATACATTTTTGAAGCTAACGTAAGACATTTTCACGTATTATTTAAATCCTCGTTCGTTATACTTGTTGCTAATAAACTTTGAAGTAATACAAAATGTTCAAAGTATCATAATAGTTGAATATATCTTATAATTATAAGAATTTTGAAGTACAATACTTTTATAAAAGTATAAAGTTTTAAATAAATTATTAAGCGCTATGGCTATTTACACATGGCTATTTGACCTGGACAGGCTTGTATAAGATTTAAATTTTTTAATTAAGTAATTCTATTCAAGTATAAAGTTTATAATATAAACGCATAATAATTGTTAAATTAAATTTCTAATAATTTATTTATGTAAATGCTTTTAATTATTTTATATTTTAAAGCACGCGCTATAATTGAATGAATAACTATTATATATATATATATATATATATATTTTTTTTTAAATATATTTTAAATGTAACATTAAGCAAATGCTATGGCCGGCTGATTATACAATTAAACATAATTTTCATAATATACATTTAGTTTATTGTATAGTGTAATTTATGCGTTAGAAATTATTTCATAAAATTAGTTGAACAATTTCTGATTTTTATGCATTGAAAAAATTTCTTCACATGCTTTTATGATTCTTACATTAGATGTTATAAATTAGTTTAGTAACGAAATTCATAATCTTATAATATCTTCAATATTTAATACTCTTATAATTTATAATACATATGTGTTGTTGGATTTTTGTTATTATTTATTATTGTCATTATTATTATTATTTTTTTAACTACATTGAAAATAAGAGATATCTATAAAAAATCTTTAATTTCTTCTACACTTTTTAACTATTTAAAAAATGATTTTAACAAGGGTTTTTATAATTTCTCATATATAGTTCTCGGCCTTTAGTAGTATTATAAGATATGCATAAAGTGTTATTTAAAATCTATTGCATTGAATATGAATGTTAAAATTTATTATTTACTACTAAAAAGTTTCTAACTCATTGATTATATGAATTTAGAAATTATTTTTATACACTTTATTGTCATTGGCTCTACTAAGCTCATACTGTTATTTATTCATTGTACTTTACTTGTTTCTTTAACCTTCATTGACCACGAATAATTTTTTTCTTTTTAAACGACGAATAGTAATGAAATTTAAATTAATACATAAAAGACATTAAATTTACAAGTGCTTATGAATTCCTTGTCCAACTATTACATTAAATTGTAGTTAATAGAATTAGGTAGATTTATCTACCAATATCTATTTTGATTAGAGTAATATATTTTTTTTTTCATTTTCAAATAAAAAGAAAATTGCATGTATATGTTTCGTTAAAATTTATCCAGAAACTCATTTTCATGTAAGAAAATTTTTTTAATTTCTTCTATAATACTTATATAATTATATTATTTATATAAAACAATATAAAACTCCATAATAACATTTATTTTCATACAAATGAATTAATTATTTTATGTATGGAATTTAGTTTAATTTAAAAATTTTCACTAATTATTAATAAAATAAAATTAAAAATGGATAATTTCAAAAATTCAGAAATGTAGATGTTTGCCTATTATTTAAAATATTAAATACTCTATAATTTTTCGTAATCAATTTATAATAAATTGATTGAATCAAGGTACAATAAATATTTTCACCTATACTTAGGTTAAAAATATCACGTATAAATTAATAAAGTAATTTTAATTTTTATCATTTTAAATACATTATTTTTTAATAAAATAAAACTATTAAAAATTACATATTTTTCTAATTTTACGCTATTAACTTTAATAAAAGTAAATATATATATATATATATATATATATATATATATATATACATCGAATGTAATCCATACAATCGAATATTTTTATGTACATAGCCAGTAAATTAAAATAATATTACCCTTTCATATTTTAATTTATATATTTTAATGTGCCGCATAAGAAATGTAATAAGTACATAAAATTAAAAAATCATGTAATTTCATATTTTTATAATATTTTAATATCTTTTAATGATAAATATATTTTGTATGAAATTATAATTTAAAAATAATTGCAGATTATTTTACTTGTTTACGATATCACAAATAGTTCCAGTTTTGATATTCTTGAAGATTGGGTAACTAAAATTCGCGAACTAAGTGACGATCTTCAGATAATGCCAGTTATGGCAATTGTCGGAAATAAATGTGATATGGAGCATCAGCGTACAGTTAAAAGAGAAAGATCACATCGCTTTGCTGCTGAAAATGGATTTCATTATCAAGATATGTCAGCTAGGACTGGGGAATCCGTAAGTCATTTCACATTATTAATTATTAACTTAGGTCTCTAAAAATTCAATATATAACTCAAGTTGAGATAATATTCAAATTCATGATAAATGTTCGATATAAGTATTAGTGTAATAATAATTCACATTTTCAATGAAAAAGAAAAATAATCTTTTATGCAAATTGGCAATGCCTTAATATGCAATATGCAATGTAATTTAAAATTCAAAGTTATTTATGAAATGTATCTATTATTAAAAAGGCTATTATTTTGTTATAAACAATATTATAATTTTTTTATACTTTAATATAAAATACTATATTGATAAAAAAAATTACGACAATGTGTATTTTAATATTAAAAGTGAAAAATTCGTTCTAATAGTAATTATAATTATAAAAAATAGTTTTCAGTAAAATTATTATTCTTTATTCAATTTTAAACCAAAGTAACTAATGTCATACAATAATTAGAAAATCGATTATATTAAAATTTATCATATTTCATTATTTATTTATAAATAAAATTTCAATATTATTCTGAGTATTAATAACATAAAACTGTCATATTTCATAAAACTTTATAATAAAAGATTAAATTATAATTAATTATAGTGAAAAATAATATTTGAAATATTTAGACATTCCTATTATAATCATTAATGAACTTTAAATATTTATACCTGACATTTTAAATTTTCATATCCATTTTAATAATTATGTAGATTGATCTTATTAATCCATGATTTAGGTGTCACTTTGTATAGCTAATCTTGCAGCAAAAAATCTGGGTATACGACTTACGAAATTCGATCAAGATCTTCACAAACCCATTATTACAGCGGAAATAGGTGATTCAGTAGACATGCCCATAATTGATAATCGAAAAATTATTAAAAGACGACCAAACAAAAAACAAATGTCAATTCATCATTTCCGTCAAAATCTTCCCATGTCAAAATCTACCACATGCTCTTTACAATAATATATTGTTGTTAAACTAAGAGTTTTGTAAAAATTGTATTGAAACTTGTAGTTCAGGAAAAATGAATGAGTTAGATGATAAATGTCATAACGGTCTGTTATATTTATTATGAATGAAAGAATAACATGAATAAAAAATAATTGTGTACATTAAATGTAGATTTTTAAATATTAAAACAATTGTTAAATTTGTATAAAAAATAAAACATATTACGAAATAACAGTTTGTAAAAATAATGTTTTCATATTTTTTAATTAATTATTAATAAATATACAATTAATATTAAAAGATATTAAGATTAAATTCATTTAACACGAATAATTATTTCTCTAGCTATTTAAATTTGTTTTCCTTATTATCAGGGAGCAGTGGGAATATATATGTTAATAAATCACTTTTCAAATGACTAAACAATCATTTATATTTCATTTATAATTTGAAAAAATACATATTGATGTTGACACTATTGTCCAAGACAATAATTACAATTACAATTGCCTCTTCTACCTTGCTTCGTTTGTACATTTACAACATAGTTAATATTAACCAATACTGTAAGAAAGTAACAATCGAAACTCCATAAGCTTTCAAATTTTTCAGTTTTGAAACAATCATAGAGAGCAATGAATAGTAATGGTATAAAAAAAATCATAATAATATTATTGAATCTATTAATAATTAAAATCTTAACCCAATGATTTTATAATAACATAATACATCATCACCACCTCAAATGCATGAATGTCAATTATAAATAATTAATTTTATATTTAATAATTATATATGTTTTTTAAAATAAAAAAATTTTGTTAATCAATGTGTTATTATTTTCTCTGATTTAAATGTCGATAATTAAAGCTTTAGATTTTTTACTAGAATTCCAAATTATTTGTGTTTATTAAGTTTCAATGAGTGAAATTATAGATTCTTTATTATAAAGATGCTAACTTATTTATTTGAAGAAATTACATGATGTACTATTTATTTTGAAAGCACAATTCTGTTTATTTTTATTATACATGTGTGTGTATATATATATATATATATATATATATATATATATACACACCTATATTTTAGTATGAATGAATATTGATAGTATTTAATAAGAATAATGGCTATTTATCAGTGCATATAACATGAATGTTAAATGTAAATAGACATACAAATACATATAAACTCAAAGCATATAATGATTACTATTTAACTACAATTTTTATTTTTTCATAATTAATGTTTTATATTGGATGATAAAAATCAACTTTATTGTTAAATAAATCTAGTTCCTACATTGAGTTTATACTTTTTCTTTCTTTATTTCTACATTCAATCTAAAAACTAATTTAGATTATGAAATTAATTCAATTCAATTCTACAATTCTGGAGGCTTTTTTAAAGGTCTTCTAGGCCATGAATTCTTTTCAAGTATTTTTTCTTTAGCATGCCATAAAACTGTAACTTTGTCGTTTAAAGGATATAAATAGGTTTCAAGCCATTCTTGTATAGTATAATTTGTATAAATTCCTTCCATGGCATTTTTCATTTCTTTTTCAATATAAATAATTTCCATTTTGTATCTATCTCTCTTCTAACATGACTAGGATTTGAAAAAGCATATTTAATATTATACGGTTTTAACCAACCCTTGAATGTACTATCCTTTTCCATTCTCGATATTTCCTGGCATAATGAATGGAGACGAAGTATTGCAGAATAAATAGATACACCAAAATAGTTGCACTTTGTCCATCCATATTGTGGCTCTGGAAGATTTAGACTAATTGCACCGTCGCAACTAAGGATATCCATTACTTGTTGAGGTACTTCGATAGGTAAATTATTATAATTTTTTGATTCTAAAATCATTAAATTAATAGCAAGTGACGGTAGTGCCGATGGCAGTAATTCACATAAAACACTGAAGTGATCATATCGTTGCCAACCAGTAAGAATAATACCACTAAAATTTATGTGTTTTGATTGTCGAGCAATAATTTGTAACCAATTTTGATGATTCTCCATGTGATAAGAGATATTTGTGTAATATCTATCGGGGGCGGTTGCACCTTTAAACGCTGTTGCTATCCATACAGATTTCCAAATACTCGCATAATTCTTCCACAGCTGATCCTTCAATGTGGTAGTAGGATCTGCAGTGTATTTCCATACAACTGGTTCTATTAAATTATTTAAGCCTTTATAAATAATTTCCATGGGATCTATTTCTCGAAATTCATCATCCCACATGAGAATTGTCAAATGAGGATATTTCATTTTAATATAAGATGCTACGTTATGCACATGATTAAGAAATAGTTGTTTTTTAGTCCACTGATATTTTGCCATTATTTCTAAGCATCGATTACAGTTTCCTAATTCATAGACTTCGTCCGCACCAATATGCAAATAGTTTATATTGGGATGCATTGCAATCACTTGATCTATCATGCTAAATAGAAGATGCATAGTTTTGTTATAAGTAGGGCATATAACTTGTGGATAGTCGTAGACTTCTCGATATTCTATAAATTTTTTTAATTTTAAAATGAATTCCAAATGACCAAATGTTTGAATCAACGGAATAACTATAAGATTATTGTCTTTGGCAATCTTTTGAATTGTCATCACTTCACTTTTAGTATAACAATTTTCAGCCGTAACATTATTAAGATTATCTCTAAAAGGAAACATGTCTTCATATTCTATGAGTATTCCAGTTGCTCCTAATTTTGTTAAAATGGGAAATAAATATTTATAATAATTTACAACGGGAGGAGCACCTTTTAAATCCAAATGGACAATTTTATGCAATGTAGGTACTTTGTCATTTTCATATGATTTTTTATCATTAATATTTTTAAAATTTTCAAGCTTATTAATGGATTTTATATTTTTCATCATTCGACCGTGTAATTTTTGCCTCATTACAATATTTTTAGAATTTTCCGTTAAATAATTATTATCTAATTTTGCATGTAGATGAAGTTTTGAAGGTGGGACATCTTCCATTTCACTGCTTAACATATGATAAACAATAATTAATAAACCAAAAAGTATCATTAAAATGATTGTCATTGATGTTCTGCCTTTCAGGCGAATCATTTTTCTAGTTCATCACATTTTCATTTTAAAGAGATATATTATTTCTATTTATTTAAAACACTTTAGCAATAAGCTAATCAAATCCTCCCAATTACATTTTCAAAATTAATTACAATTAGGTTACTTACAATTATTATTAACGAATCCATACATAAAAAGAATCTTATTTACAAATGTTATTACAATTTTTATTATTAATGACCACAATATTTTATATTTTTATAATTAACAGTAATACAAGTTATTTCTTTATACTCTTGCAAAGATTTTCTAATATCTAAATAATTCAAGGAAATTTTATTTCTTTAATTTAAATTATCATAAGTTATTATATAGATTTATATAAGAAATTTACAAATTGTTGATAATTGTTTAATTTTATTATTAAGTTTACAGTGCCAATTTAACGTTTATCTATTTTTTATTACATCGAAGCCGCTTTTTTATGTTTGCAAATACAAAAAGTTTAAAATATGCATGCACGCACGCACGCTCGCCCGCACACACGCGCGTGCATGCATATGCATATTTATACCAATCAAACTTCTTCAAAATAACTAACCCTCATTATATACGTCACCATACATGCGGTCTGGTAGTTCATATATGAATAGGCATGTAGGATATGTTTGAACGACGGATAATATTTTAGACTTTCTATATATATATATATATATATATATATATATATATATATAAATAAATATGCATTTCATTCGCATGTGTATAAACATTTATTTCTATTTATAAATATTTAAAATTTCAATAAAACAGAATTTAAATTTATAAAAGTGTTTAATTTAAAAGCAAGTTGTTGAAAATAATTATTAAATTTAATTTAAAGTGATTAAGCATAGCAATTTTAATAAATTAGGTTAGAGAGTCATAGATTATTTATTATAATACAGTCGGGTATTTTAATTGTAAAAAAGAAATATTAACGTGATTTATAATTTTATATATATATATATATATATATATATATATATATATGCTAAGGAATTAGAATTTATTCTCAATATGAAAAGTACGGAATCGGTTTTTTTGTTTGTAATAATAAATTTATAAAAAAGTTAAAATATTTTAATTTGTATCGAGTAAGATTGTAACATGAAAGACTGCATTCCAAGAGGTACTTTATTTTGCTATTGGAGCAACTTAAAAGAGCATCCTCAATGTCTTCATGGTTAGTGATATAAATTTCTTCCTTTAAATATAAAGTATTTAAGGATTTTATTGTAATGTATTTATTTTTAATATACAGGACCACTTTTACTTTTTGGGCGTGAGATTGATGGAACAATTAATAAATTTTATGCTTGCTCGGCATGTAGAGATAGAAAGCTTTGTTCAATTTATTTTGAATATGGGGAGAAGCCACTTGACAAACAGAAATTATTTTTTGAACAAGACAGAAAGAAAGCTTTACGGCCATATAATCATCAAAAATTATTTATTCAATATAACAAATTGATGAGTGAAAATCCTCTTAAAAGAACGTACTGTTATACGTGTGAAAAACTGTTAATGATATCTGAATTAGAAAAGCATAAAGAGCATGAAATCAAACAAAATCTTTCGGATTATCTCATGACCCATCCTTCGGAAATCTTGAAACCTTTAGAGAATTCCAAAAAAGAGGCTCAATATTTATTTTCGAAAAAAACAGTTAAAGATATCATAAATATCTTAATTGATTTAAATGCTAAGAATGTTTTGTGCATCGGAACACCAAGATTACACGAATATATAACTGAAAATTTAGAAGGACAGATGTCTAGTCTTTTATTGGATATTGATGGGAGATTTGTAAATATTAATTATTAAAAATATTTTTATTATTTATATGTTCTTTATTAAGAAATTTTTATTTTTATATTATAGCACAACTTTTTTGGACCATTAAATTATTGTTGGTATAATTTGTTTAATCATCATTTTTTTAATGAAAATTCAATGTATGTTTTCAAAGAATTTTTAACACAAGATCAAGGTGAAAATATGTATTTGATATGTGATCCACCTTTTGGGGGTAGAGTTGAACCGATTTCACAAACAATTAAGACTATCAGTGATTTGCACAAGAATTTGAATAAAATCGATACAACTGCAAATGAATTAAAAATTATTTTTATTTTTCCATATTTTATGGAAGCTATAATTAAGGAAAAATCTAATCCTCCAAATATTTTTGGGGGCTTAAAAGATTTAAAAATGGCTGACTACAAAGTAGAATATGATAACCATCCACTATTTGTTCCAAAAATGGATAATAAACAGCAAGGATCTCAAGTACGTATCTATACAAATATTTCATTAAATTTGATTAAGTTACCAGAATCTGACGGATACAAATATTGCAAAAAATGTTTACGATGGGTAACTATAGAAAACAAACATTGTAAAATTTGTCGTAATTGCACTTCTAAAAATGGTAAAAGATATAAACACTGTAAGTTATGTGACCGTTGTGTTAAACCTTCGTGGCAGCATTGCAAGACATGCAATCGATGTTCATTACCAAATCACACATGTGGACAAAGACCAAACATAGGTCATTGTTTTACATGTAACGAAGCAGGTAAAGTGTACAATGTATATGGTTGAGCTTATGTGCACAACATGTTATTTATGTATTATAATTTTTTAGGTCATACGAAACAAGAATGCTCAAAGATTTTTAAGAAATCTGTAATAAATGTTTTAAACGAGAAAAGGCATAGAAATCAGATTGAAAGCGAACCTCATCCATTAAAAAGCAAAAAGTCGAAATATTAATATGTAATTATAAAATTAAAAGAAAAGATAATAAAATTTGAACAATATAAGCTTGAGATTTTTAAATTGTGAAATATGATTTAGAATCAAAAAGTTGTAAAAAATAAAAAGTTTTTTAACATAAAAACATTTTGATATAAAGAAATTAAAAAAATTGAATGTATAATATTGTTATTTTGTAAAAATAACATTAATAAATAAGAAAAATGTTCTAAATTATTGTTTATTTATTTATTTTATTTATTAATGATAACTACAATTTCTCATTGTCAAAATCGTACAGGGACAAATACATTATGAATTTCAACGAATGAACATTTCCATAATCTCGAGAGTGCTCTATTCAGAAACATCTTGAAAACCATTTGACTCGTGAATATTAAAATTGAAAGAGTATAAATAACTAGTATGAAATATATTTTGAACAGAAGAGTTTCGACATCAAGTAATATATACCTTGAAAATATACGAGCTCTGAAAGAAATTGCAATGTCAATAATTAATTTATTACTTATTACTCTAATTTCATTGAGTACTGCTTGTTGAATGACAAATTATCCAAGAGGAGGTAAACGTGCCATGTTTGCAAATCCAACATTTCTTTTAGATAAAATAGCTCGAGAAGTAAGTTTTTTAAAATGAGTTTTTAGCTTTTTTTTATTATGTATATAATTATTTTCAGTGTCCTGTATGGGGCCATGAAGACTTCTGACGTTGTTTTGGTCCTCATATTTGTTGCGGTCCTACTATGGGTTGCTTACTAGGAACTCCAGAAGCACATCATTGCCAAAAAGAAAGTCTTTATTCGCAACCGTATGTTGCAGGTTTTGCAATGTGTCGAGGAAATAGTGGAAGATGTGCAGCAAATGGAATAATGAATAACATTCCCAAGGTAATGAATAATATTAATAGAAATTTTTCAATTATTTATGAAAAATTTACATTCTAATTGATTCTAATAATTTTTAGAATCATGTTTCATTGATTCATCATGCAAATTAGATGAAACAGGATACAATAGAAAAATTGGTGTTGAATTTGGTTCATTTCATTTAGAAAATCCTGGAACAAATCAGCGTATTCTTTAATAGATTTTATAAATAAAATAATGTTTTATTATGTATAAAAAATTTGTATTTAAGATATATATCGATTCAACTGTATAGATTCAGTTTTTAAAGAACTATTAGCATTAAATAAAATTAAGAAGTAAAAATTATTTATAAAGCATTAAATAAATTTCATCTAAAACAATATATTAGTTCTTAAAATTTTATAACAAATTTTCCAATCAAAATTCATGCACTGATATTTCCTTTTTAAAATAATGAATAAGTTACTAAATGCAATAAATATAAATAAATTTAATATCCATAGTTTAATAGAATTCCTTTATTTATTTGATCATAGAAAAAACCATAAAGTGATTTGTACAGATATGAAAGTAAGTTAAAAAACATAGATAATTGATGTGTACAATAAAATCTTTAATGAATTTTTTCACTTTGTATTGATATTAGAGATAAAACGGTGAATTAATGTTTGTTTTACAATTAGTAAGAAATAAAAGATTTCACAAAATACGAAATCCATTATTTATATTTCATATTAAACAGGGATAATAAATAAAAAATTATATCATAAAACTTATTATATTATAGAATTATTATATTTAAATATTAAATATATTTAATGGTTATTCATTTTGAAAGGTGTTTCTTTGTTGAATTCTATTACTTATATTTCATTATGTACTAGTTATTTTTTATTATAATAAGTGCAACATTGTATAATACTTTGTTAAAATATCAATAGCTTTTTATTAATAATTTTCTTAATTCATTTAAAAACTATAAAAACTATTAATTCGTAATGTTATAAAGGAAATATGCGTACAAAAAATATCTATAAATCATTTCATTACTGAAAATTTACATTCAAATTTTCACGTGTAATTTATTATATCAAATAATTTATTTCTTAATCTTGAAAGTTTAAAAAAAATTGGCTAAGAAATTATAATTTTCCATTCTTAAATATATACATTTTGTTATTTATATATCATTAAATATGTAGATTATAAATTTTTAATTAATAAAGAGATTAATTAAACTGGACGTTGAGCAACAAGTCAAATTTATCAATTAATGAAATAGTACGCATTCTTAATGCATGCATATAAATTTTTACACACACGCACGCACACAACCATGCGTATGTAAACAAATATATATATATATATATACAATGCTTTGAATAATACGATTTATACATTTTTACAATAATATTTATACAATAATATAAAAAAAATCCAATTATTATATGTCAACTTTTTAATCTATAAAATAGAAATAAAATTGAAAAAATTTGTATAGAATTTTTATTCTGATAATACATTATATTAAACAGTAAGAAGAGTAAAACAAAATATTTGAAATAGTCAGGAGATAAATAAGATTTTAATTATTTCAAATTGTAGAAAAATGAATAATTAGTATAAATTGTCTAATTTCAGAAAAGTAAATGAATAAATTTATGGCATTCAATGGTTAAATAATTCCATAATATTCAGAGTGCTCTATTGAAAAATATCATTTTGAAAAATCTGAACTCCCAGTAATAAGATTAAGTGAATATAATAAAATTTATTATAGAAACACACATAGACACACACACACATATATATATATATATATATGCATATGTATATATAATCAATAATCATTGTATAAATTTGTAATTTGCTTATTGTATAGTTTTGTAAAGTAGTCTAATATTAAATTGTTATTAATATTTGAGAAACAGTAGAGTAAAAAAAATAGTAAGTGATAAAAAAATATTAATGCCAGCTTGCATATTACAAGATACAATTTCATTACAGTTAAAAATTGGCTTAATATGCTTAATAATATGGCTTAATAAAATATGCAGTAATGTAATAATCTTATATACATGGATCATTATGTAAATTAATAGAAAAATCTATACAAAATTAAAATAGTATTAAAAATATTTATTATTAAATGTACCTCTATTTCATAAATTTTAATATATATATACATATGATTTTAGACATAACACAACTTTAATCTGCATATTAAGTAACAATATTTTGAAATCACTTTTTTTTATACGCATTTTGGTTGTTTTGAAGAGCGTTAAATATAATGAACATAATTAGTTTGTATACATTTTTATTAAAAAACTCCTATCCTCCTAATTTTATGTCACCACTAGATGCTGTGTTTATTTTTGCTTATTTTAATCATATATTACATTAAATATAATTGGAATAGAAGCATTTGATAATTTATACAATTGAAATTTAGAACTTGATAATATGGTTATTCAAAAATTAAAAACAATTACAAACATAAATTAAACACAAATAAATATACATAAATTAACCATAAATAATAATATAAGTTTTCATCATAAAATTTATAGTTACATCTTTAACTAGACTCTTTATGACATGTAAAACAAAACAATTACTCTTACTTCATGTATTGCTTTGTTATTATGTAATGTTATTTTTTACGTTTTCATGGAACATTTATCATTAAATTGGTACCTTAAAGTGTATTAAAGTTTTTTTTATAATTTTAATAAATTAATTATACAAAACAGTATGGAACAAAATAAAAATAAATCGTGTCCGATTTAAATAAAATAATTTATTAATAAAAAATAAAAAATTTTACATTATGTCAATTACTCAAATTAATAATAACCAGTTTGAGTTATCTAAACAAAATTCTGTAGAAGGTTAGGTTTTCAAAATGAGTGCCCGCTTGTTGCAAACGGTTCAAAAGTTTCCTGTAAAAAAACATTTATTATTATCGCAATTACCAATTCTTGTTTATAGTTATCCATCGTATGGATTAAGATATTATAGTTTGTGTGAAAAAACTCATAAAAATTGCATTCGTGAAAAGTTATTACGACGATTCCTAACCTATACTACAGTCTTTGTCTCCGGCATTATTTTTACAATTAAAAATTTGAAAGATGAAAAGAATTTTTTTAACGATGTTAAAAATGCCATTATTCCTAGAGTTTGTGCTATAAATATTCCAGATTATGTTGATAACAGAAATAAAAATAATTTTATTGCCGACGTAGTCGAAATTACAGCACCATCAGTTGTTTACATTGAATTAAAAGATACAAAAAGGTAAATTAAAACATAAACTTTAATTATGAATAATTTTATTAAATATGGAACGATAATAAGAGATTATTGCAATTGAAATACAGGATGGACTTTTTCACAGGGAAACCAATTATTACAAGTAATGGTTCAGGTTTCATTGTTAAAGCAGATGGTTTGATTTTGACAAATGCTCATGTGGTGATGGCTAAGCCCAATTCGAATGTGAACGTATTTGTAGGTTTTGTAAAATACTATTTTTATTAATATTTCTCGTTTTTGTTTGTATATTACTTACATGTATATATATTATTTGTAATTATAATTAAGTGATGATTTTTAGGTACGTCTTCAAGATGGTAATGCATATCAAGGTATTGTTGAAGATGTTGATTTACATAGTGATTTAGCTACAGTTCGTATAAATAAAGTAAATATGTTTATTTAAAGAAATATTCTATTTATAGAATGATATATCTTTTATTGTGTATTATATCGAATTTGTTTATATATCGTATATTATATCGTGTATATACATATATATATATATATATATATATATATATATATATATAATATACATGTATACTTCAAATAGCTTATAATTTGTTCTAATTTTTAAAATTATATCTTTTAATATTTAATATATAAACTATCTATTAATGTGTAGTAATATATGTTTTGATGATTTATTAATTTTATTTATAGAAAGACTTACCAGTTATGAAACTTGGTACTTCATCAAAATTAAGGCCAGGGGAGTTTGTTGTTGCAATAGGGTCGCCGTTATCATTGAACAATACAATTACAAGTGGTGTTATTAGTAGTGTTAATAGACAAAGTGAAGAGTTAGGTCTTCATGATAAACACATGCAATATATACAAACAGATGCTGCTATTACAGTAATAATTGAATTTTCATTTAAAAAATTGATTAATTGATTAATTGTTTGATACTTGAGATTGATTAATTGGTAAATTACTTAGAGATTAATGTTTATCAAAAATACAGTTTAAATAGAACTTTAATTCATAATGTAAACTGTTTCAAACGATTAATTTTATATATATATATATTAGAATAATTGATTATAGCCTGCATAAAAATAAATATTAAATAATTTTAGTATAAAAATAATTTATTTTTGTATAGTTTGGTAACTCTGGTGGGCCTTTGGTAAATTTAAATGGTGAAGTTATTGGTATAAATGCTATGAAAGTAACATCAGGAATTTCTTTTGCAATTCCCATAGATTATGCTAAAGACTTTTTAAAAAATGCAGAGGAACGCAAAAGACAACAAGGTTTATTTAATATTTTAATTATTTTAATTGTATTTTTGATAGTTAATATGAAATTAAACAATATTTAATAGCAGTAAAACTTATTCTTTTATGTAATTATAAAATTTTTATTAAGGAAAATTGATGAATGGATTAAATGAACCTGTGAAAAGAAGATACTTAGGAATAACAATGTTGACACTTACATCAGATATTATAAATGACATGCATCATCATGGAGGAAATTTGCCACTTATTAGACATGGTGTTTTGGTTTGGAAAGTCATATTTGGATCACCAGCATATCTGTATGTTTTTAAATGTAAATTAGAAGTATGAGTGAAAAATTGGTATTTTATAAAATAGAATTTGTTATATTTACAGTTGTGGTCTAAAACCAGGAGATATCATAACGCATTTAAATGGTCAACAAATAAAATCTTCTACAGATGTTTATAAGGTTTTAGAAAAAGGTGGCCGCATACGTCTTTCAATAGTTCGGAATGACACCACCTTACAATTAGAAGTTGAACCCGAAGAACCATAAATTTTATGTTTTATTTATTACTTTTTATTACAAATTATATTTCTGACTCAAATTGATTTTACAAATTTCTAAAGAATATAAATGTTTTTATTATTATTTGAGGTATTTATTTTTTTTTAAATAAGCTAAAACTGGAAAAAACTTTCTTATACAGTTTTAGTTTATATTTGAAATTGTTTTTATAAAGAATACACGATTCTTTTAAATTCATATAAAAATTTTAAGTAGATTTAAGAGAAATTATATTTTTAACTAATAACAAAGTTGAATAAAAAATACAAGTAAAAATTTTGTACAAAATTGATTTAAAATGTTTGTATTAGTTAAAAAAATTAAATTAAATTTCTTGTTACCTAATTTAAATTTTGTTGACTGAACATTCAAACAGGTTTTTTTATTCATAATTATAAGCTACCATATGAATTCTCAAATTATATTTATATAATATATTCTTTGGAATAAAAATCGCTGTTAATAAAAAACATTCTTTGCATTTAAATTTAAAAGAAAAATATTTTTTACTAATTGTTCTTTATACAATAATAAAGATTATTTTTTATTAAATTGGATTTGCTATTAGTTTCATTGTTATAAAAATTATTAGTTTAATGTATAAACTGTTGTTAAAAAAAAATGTTGCTTTGAAGTTGTGTTTAATCATATTATGTAATTCATTTAACAACCAGTAGTAAAATATTAATGTAGGAGACGTTATGTTTATTTACTAAGTGATCAATGTATGAACATCTATTTACTTTGTACTTTTGTACCTTTGTACCTTTTTTTCTTATCAATAAGTGAGGTGTAAGCGAATTAATATAAATTAATTTTTTTTAATATTTAACAATCCTATTTGATGTGTATATGACGAATGGTGGTTTGTTTACGGTCAATAAAAGATGTATTAATTGAAGAATAAGTTATATATTTCTAGTATCCGAAGATCTAAAATGTCCCCAGTTATATTCAACAAGTTGTTGAATTATGTTTATGACGTTTCGTATATTAACGGGCTTGATATTGTCCTTTCATGTATACGGAACGTAATAATGATTCTACGTACCTCTGCTTCCTTTATCTGATATTATGTTTCAAGTTGAAAGTTTTTTTATTAAATCTTATGCATTTTATACTCTGAAGAAAACATTGAGATACATACTCATCATAGCATTTAAACGTGCTAAGGAAAATAATAAGAACAAAGAAGAATTTTATTATACATAGGCTATTTATATATTCATTTTAAATAGATTTTATTATAGTAATTTTTTTTCTTCAAATAATATAGTTTATAATTATTTATTTAGTTTTAATTAAAAAAACACTTTTAGACTAATTGTTATTAGAAAAATTTCTTTCAATAAACACAAATGCTTTATTTTATTTAAATAATAATAATGTAAATATTAAATATAAAATTTATTGATAAATATTTGAATTATATTATTCATTGTAAACATTTTTCATTATGACAATAAATATTTATATTAATCAATATTTCAAATGCAGTATATTCAATAAAAATAATCAAAATGTTTTACAAAATTATTAAAAATTTTTTTAAAGAAATTATTTATATATATATATATATATATATATATATATATATATATATATATTGATATAGATTATAAAAGTGTTTTGCCTATTTTATGAGTAAAAAGATATTTAAAATAAAAATTTATACATTTAATTATTATTAAAAATTTTATAAATTACTTATCCTTGCAAATGTATTATGTTAAAAAAGGGCATATTACTCAACTAATCTTTAGAAAAATTAACATTTATGATTTTCGGTATTTTCTGTAATTTTTTTTACCAATAGAATTTAATTAATTTATTCATAAAATTTATTGTAATTTTGCATTTATTATTTTTTGTTAATCCCATTCCCTTTTTTTTTTTTTTTTTTTAATTAAAACACATGGTAGATAAAATATAAAAATTTACGCTTTTTTTTTTACTTTTGTTAAATAAAAGCATTTTCAATTAAAATATTTCTTTCTATTATAAGATGAAAATAATATTACACTGTCTTCGTTTTAGTATTTTGCTGGCAATAAATAAAACAAAATTAATATACTTTGCCATTCACTATATTTTCAAAAATAGATATTTAATTTAAATCTTTTAAATTTAATGGATTTAAAAAATGATTAATGCTTGAAAGAAAATTTTAATCTAAGTATGTTTGGAAGCAAATGTTTTATCTAATAAAAAAATTAATGAAGTTTCTAATTGAAGATGATTAGAATAAATAATATTAAAAGATTTTTTCATACATTAGTTAACATTCTTTGACATATATATATATATATATGATTCATACTTTTTATGCCATTTATATATATATATATATATATATATATATATACAATACATTTTTGTAATAAAATAATAATATTTTTAGTTCGGATGGTAAGTAAATTCAGATGAAAAGAAAATATTTATATATTTATATGTATATAGGAATATGAATGAGGGGGAGTAAAGAGAGAGAGAGAGAGAGAGAGAGAGAGAGAGAGAGACAGAGAGACAGACAAACAGATAGATAGAATTATTTTTCATAGCGTTGTCGCCTATTTTATAAGTTGCGTGGAGTTGCGAAGAAGAATAAAACATGTGAAACGCAGCAAATATACAGCACCATAAAATCATAAGTTACCAGTCGAGAAATGTTGAGATCTTCCTGGTTAAAGTAGAAGAAAATGAAACAAAGATAAACATGCAGAGGATATTGAGAAAAAGATACACAGAACGATAGCTCACTAAGTTATGGTCAGACATTCGAGTCGTTTATGCTTTGTTACGTTTATTTTTTGTTTTTCGTTTGTACGGGGATTTAACATTTTATGCGTATGGATTATTCAATCATATGTTTTACTTTTGAAATTACCACTGAACATTAACTATTGCATTGCTACTGAAATTTGTTATAAAAATTACCATAAAGAAGAATAATACATTTTATGTTATATACAATTTGAATACAAGAGTATTAATTAATATTGCTAGTATTACATATATTTATATAAAAACATGAATGAATGAAGCTGAAAGAACTTTGTATAACTAATTTGAAAATGCTTGTAATTCTCATTTTTCTTTATTTATTAGATTTAATGTAGTATTTAAATTGTACAAGAATTTTTATCAAATAAAAATATTATAAACGTACACTACATTTTATCTTTACGTCACATCATTTTTTTTCCTCCCAATAGAATAGTTTATGTAAATTTTTGTATCATTCGGCTTTCTTTTTTTTACATTTTCACATATATATATATATATATATATATATATATATTAAATGCTTTTATTTAATAATAATATTGAATATTTTGAATGTTCTAAATTTAAATAAATTTAATTGTAACTATAATGATATATTTAAAACTTTTTGAAAATATTTAAATACTCATGGAAATATAAGTATAAGTAAGGTAAATAAATATGTGTATGCAAGTTTCGAATAACATGTAAATTAAAAATCTTTGAATTTTTTATTTGTGAAAAATCTGTTTAATTGAACTTCAAAATTATCTGATTGATCATAATTAAAAGAATTTGTTTTTCTGATATAAAAATATTTCCATCTGATTATTTTGTATATGAAATGAAAATCCTTTGTCTCAACCACGTTCCTTACGCCTGCATAATTATATACTTTTTCTATAGTGTTGATGAACCGCGTGTATTTGACATTATTTGATGGTAAAGGTCATTATCAGTAAGTGGAGTTGATTAGTTTATTGTTTAAATATCTGAAATAAAGCAATTTTATAATGCTCGCGAATATCAGATGACTTGGACAACAATTTGTTCGAAGTTTTAGACTTGACTGAAGAAGAACGATAGGCTTCTTTTTATTTTTGTATATACCAATGATAAAAAAAAGCGCGTATAAAAAATAAAGTCATTACTGGTATTTCATTACAAGGAGCTTTTTCTTTTGCTAAATTCCGCTTAAAATTAGACAATTTCATCATTAAGTCAATATAAAGATTCTTTTATAGAAAAGAAGAAGGTAAAAAGTTATCTAAGGATGATTAAATTAATACTTTAGAAATTTTAATTTTAATAATTGCAACTGGTATTAAAATTTTTTCTATCTAATTTTCATATGCGTATGTATTATAAACAAAGTACGATAAGTAAATGTTTAAGATCATGATTTTAAATACATTGATAATATCATCTGAATTTGTAATTTATTAAACTGTTTTCAATTTTCTTTGAAAGTTTCTATTTAGATTGGCTAAATTTTTATTTACAATGAATAAATTGTTCGATTATTTTTAGTAAAGTATGATTACTTTTTTCTTTCTTTTTTTTTTTTAAACTCACTTATTATATATTACTAGAATAATTATGAAAAATATAATTATGCGAATCGATAAAATCGATTTAAATTTCAAGATATTCATCCGCAGTCGCTAGTTAGATTAATCATTATACAAACATATCTGTTATTTATTATTTATTAAGCTCACTCGTTGTTACGGCACTTCTAGAACTTTTGCCCTTCAGTTAGCGTGTATCCATAGGTCGTTCGTTCGTACTTCCTTTTCGAGTTTTCCAGACTCACTATCAAAACTAGCTCTTCCAGTTCTTTTTCGCTTTATTTGCCAAGTTACAGTCACGACGAATGGTGCCAAATCCTTTTTAAACCCTTTTTATTACCTTAGCCTGTTAGATCTTGCCTGTCTCAACGTAATATCTGTTTATTAGTATGCGTTCTGTGGTTAAATGGTGGAAAGGCATGTTACGATCACCACGATATAATTAATATTTTGAATTATATAAAACTTCAAGTATAATTATTGACGTAAAATTATTTCTAATTTATAGCGATTGAATTATTTAATATTTAAATATATGTTAGGGATTGCCTTCACATTTTCAAATATATAATTATACGTTTATGTGTGCGTATAGTAATATCAATTTCAAATAAAAATATTTAGAAATAGGAAAAATAGTAATATATAATAAACATACTTTAATATTAAGAATACAAAAGGAAAATATTTATTTAATT